AGTATGGTTCATGGGGTCACGGAGAGTCGGACACGACTTAACGACTAAACAACAACAACCACAAGCAAGATTCTTGAATTTAAAAGAAAACTGAATGTTTGGAAAAATCATGGTGCAAAAGGAAATACTGAAATGTTTCCACTGCTGCTTGGCTTGAGAATGAAGAACAGTACCAGAAAAGTCTCAAAACTAATTGAAAACCACCTGGAAGTACTGCAGAACAAAAGTGATCAGTACTTTCCCTCCCTTTCAACACAAATGTAAAACTGGGTGAGGGATCCTTTCTCTGCACCTTCTGCTCAGCCTGAGAACTTCACTTTGAAGGAAGAGGAAGAACTTTGTGAGCTGTAATCTAATCGTACACTCAAGATGAGATCCACTCATCTCCCAATGGACAAGTTCTGGATTTCTGTGAAAGAAGAGTATCCTGCCATTCACAGGAAGGCACTGAATATTTTGCTGCAGTTCTCAACTTCTTACATGTGTGAGCAAGCCTTTTCTTATTTAACAGGCATCAAAAGCAAAGACAGAAATTGTCTTATTTCAGTTGAAGATGAAATCTGTGTGTGCTTCTCTCAGGTTTGGTCCAGAATTGAGTATTTGTACAGCAAAAAACAAGCACAGGTTTCACATTAAAGAGATAAGTTTCATTCTTTCTTTTAAGTTTAAGAACACTGTTAATGCGTATATACATGCCTATGCATGAAACAAATATAATAATTTTGTAACTTCTGGCCTATATTTGGGCCTGAATGTGCAGGGGTTCCCTGAGGCCTGAAACATATTTCAAGGGTTCCCCCAGGGTCCAAAGGTTGAGAAAGGTTGATTTAAAGTATAGATTTGACTTATAAAACCATGAATGGCTTAGCAGCTGGGTGTCTGCAGAACAGCTTACTGCAACCTGGGTTGGTTTGACCCATCTGGTCACCTTCTAAGAAGTTACTCTTACTTCCCCACTTCCAGGAAATAAAGGGAGTTGAGGCTAGGAGAGGCTGCTTTTCAGTGGCAACTGCAGTCCTCTGCAAGAATCTCCCAGTAGAGATCAGACTGGCCCCCTCCCTGATGGCATTCAGGAGGATATGGAGACTGAACTGTTCTGGAGAGCATTCTAACTAGCTAGGGAGTTTTATCCATCTTTATTTTTACATTACTGTTATTTTTATCTTAGTTTATTTGGATGTTATGGTTTATTCTATTTTGTTTTAAATTGTTTACTGCATTTTAAGACTTATCATAGATGTCAATATTTCTTGTATAATATAAACCATTGAGAGTTGCTTGGATTGTGGTGGGATAAATATGGAATGAATGAATGAATAAATAAATATTCTGGTTGAAGTGAATCTGAGATTGCACCATGAGATGTACTGTAGCATCATCCTGGAATAAAGCCTGAGGTCTTAGGATCTGCCAGAGCCTTGATATAATTTTTTAAGTAATTAAAAAATGTAAGCAATTTTTTGGCTTGAAGACCACACCAGGTTCCAGATAAGCAATATATACGTGCTCCTCTGTATATGCTTTCTCACACGCATACATACTATTCATAAAAATTATACTTCCTTGTGCAAACTACTGCCTTTCACACACATATATTATTCATCTTTTCATACACACACATCAGTCGATCTTTTCTATGCAAAGGATAATGAGCAGATTTGTTGAAAGCAAGGGAAAGCAATAACTTTTTCTCCCTGCCAGCCAACTGGATGACCAATTGCTGTTTTTCCATTGCAGCAGGGAGGTAACTGCAAACCCCAATCCCCACCCCCAATAAGAGGAAGAGAAAGTAACAACATTTTTCTCTCTGTGGCCTATTTGCTGAGTTCACAATGTCAATGTAGCAATTTTAAGCAGAACTGCTGCAACATGGAGTGGGAAGCCCAGTTCCCTTTCTTTCTCATAATCCAGCCTGATCATGGGCCTCCTGCTACTAATGGCAGGGGAAACTCACCCCCATCAGTCAGCCATTCAGGTGGCTGGCAGGGATCAGATCAGTAGTTCCACAATCCCCTTTCTGCAGCCCAGCTGAAAATGCTGATTATGTATCCAGCAGGAAAAATGGGATGGATGTTTCACAATTCTACAGTATACACAAAATGTATCTGGAATTACAGGACACATAAGTGGAAAGCTGGTGTGCTACAATAAATAAGAATCTGAACCATACATTGAGAAGTCTGCTTTGAATCTTCTGCCAGAAACATACTAGGTGGTTTTAGGTAAATTGTTAAGCCTCCACTGAGACTTGAGTGTACTTTCAGCTTCCCAGTCCAGTCTATAGCCCTGGAATTTCCTGGTGGCTTCCCATCCAAGTATTAACCAAGTCTGACCCTCATTAGGTTTTCTGAGTTCAGCTAAGATCAGTTATTATAAATGGCAAAAATACTGCACTTCCAAGAACTTTTGGAAGTTTTGGAAGTTCCAACACACACAAGAACACAATCTGTAGCCTAAAACAGTATACTCTATTTCACTCTACCAACCAAGGATTCCAGGATCTCATGACAGACCAGACCAGAAATTATGCATATGCAATGCTACTAAATACAAATTTAATTATAATTATACTGAAAAGTCTATTCAGGGTCTTAAAAAACCTAGAACTGAAACATGATTTTACTGCTTTAAATCAGAACATGATATCAGAAGGAATTGGAAAGAATGGAGAATTTTCATGATGTCAGCGACTCATATCAAGGCTTAGAGCCCACCTGTATCTTTACGTAAAATAAGGAACTCCCAGATAGCATTATTTCAATTACTTTGTAGCACAGGTTTCAGAGGTAAAGGCAGACTGATATTAAATTATAAATATTCCAGGTAAGCTTTTAATTTTGTATAAGAATTGTCTCTGACAACAGCCCTTTTTTTCCCCATTAAATGGCCTACTAGGATAAAGTCACCTGAACTCTGATCTCTTCTTCTACTTCTTTCCTTTTTTCCTCTTTGATTAGTTCTGGATCATACTCCTGTGAAAAGTTCCATTTCTCATCTCTGTTCTGCCAAATATCTATCATCCAAGAAAAGAAAAAGGGGATGAAAAGAGAATGGGTGTTTAAAAAAATAAAAAATAAATGTCTTACAGCATAATGATATTTGTATTTCTAGTTCTGGTAATTGAATCCATTACCTTAATAAAATTTTAATGAACAATCTGATTTTTTGAAATGGAAAACTGTAATAAATTAAGTCTTTTTCCTGCTTCTGCAAAGGGTTTGGATGTTTGAAAGAAGATAAGGATAGGAAAAGTTTTTTGGACGGGAAGCTGTGTTTAGTTTTTTTTAATTTATTTAACTTTTCAAGAGCCCTATTCCAACACGTAGGTACAGCCAGACTGAAAATCAAGTGGGCAAAATATATAGGCCATCCCCAATGCATATAACTGTAATCCAATTAAAAGTGTATATTTGTAAGTAGGTTACACATTCTAATTTAATTATATGTGTAAGTTATTTTCCATTTCCCCCCAGTTAATTATATACTCAAAATAACATGATGATGATGATAATTTAACTGTTTCTTTGTTAAATAATACTTTAAACCCAATTGATAATTGATTTTACTGATGGATCCTTTGACTGGTAGGGGAAGAACCAAGCATTCTCCTAAAGAAGGCCTGTGAGAAATGTGATATTATTTTCCATCTCTCTATCTCCTTTTTCCATATTACAAAAGAGATATGTGAAAGCATCTGTTGCTGCTCTTATCGAAGGACAAAAAATACAAACTAAACTGGTATTCTTTTTATGGATAATACAGGCCCTCCTGTGGAATTTTGTGGGCTTTTATAGCTGTAGATAATCTCTAAATTTTACATCTATGAATTGGGAATTTCTACATTATTGTTCTCTAAGAAATTAATAAAACCATAGCTTTGCTGTCAACTTTTGATTATTAGCACACATCTGCTTTCATTTAAATCTTATAAAATTAGTTGCTTCTTTACCATCAAGGACACAAGATAAGCGGACTCTTTTTATGAAGCAACAAAAACTCTGAAATCCCCAGACATACAGTACTGTGCAAAAGTTTTAGGCAGGTGTGAAAAAATACTGTAAAGTAAGAAT